TTCATGTGTCCATGCTTTGGAAGTATCACGGCGATCTGTACCACGTGTTAGACTTCAGCACTGTCCAGTTGGACAAGGATTTGACCTACGAGGAGGAGCCGATAGCTATTCTAGACCGGCAGGTTCGTCAGTTGAGATAGAAGAGTTATCCTTCAGTTCGTGTGCAGTGGAGAGGTCAGCATGTTGAGGCATCTACCTGGGAGTCCGAGTCCGATATGAGGAGCAGATATCCCCATCTTTTCACCGACTCAGGTATTTTTCTATGTCCGTTCGAGGATGAACGCTTATTTTAGAGGTGGAGAATGCGATGACCCAAAAAGTCATCTCGTGTTTTAAAACCCAATTCGGGGTTCTGTGGCCTTTAAAAACTTATTTTCTTTCTCCTCGATTTGCATGCGAAGTCCGGGCATGTTTCCGGAAAGCCTTTATATGAATATTTAAGAAAAATATTGAGTTTTGCCTTTAAAATTTATTTAAGTTGACTTCGGTCAATATTTTGAGTAAACAGACCGGGACCCATGATTTGACGGTCCCGGAGGGTCCGTAGAAAAATATGGAACTTGGACGTATGCCCGAAATTGAATTCCGAGGTCCCTAGCCCGAGAAATGAATTTTTGAAGAAAATTGTTCACTGAAAATATAATGATTTTTAGAAATTGAATAATGTTTGATCTTGTTGGTATCGGGCCCGTATTTTGGTTCCAAAGCCTGGTAGAGGTCCGCTATGATATTTATACCCTATCTGTGAAGTTTGGTGAGAAACGGAAGTAATTTGACGTGATTCGGACCTTTGGTTGAGAAAATGGAATGTTTGAAACTATCTTGAAAATTTTATGTGTTTTGGTGTTGAATTCATAGTTCTAGGTGTTATTTTGGCGATTTGATCGCATGAGCAAGTTTGTATGATGTTTTAAAACTTGTGTGCATGTTTGGTTTGGAGCCCCGAGGGCTCGGGTGAGTTTTGGATAGGCTACGGAGTGTTTTGAAACTTAAGAAAATTGCTGGTATGTTTCAGGTCTGCAGACTTCGCAATTGCGAAGTCTGGCTCGCAAATGCAAGCATCGCATTTGCGAAGAATCTTCGCATTTGTCATCAGTAGGGCTAGGAGGGGACCTTCGCATTTGCGAAGTTCAGCATCGCATTTGCGATGAGAACAGGGCCGTATTTGCGAACACTTATTCGCATTTGCGATGCCAGCAGGCCAGGCCAATCTTCGCATTTGCGAAGTAAAGTCCGCATTTTGCGAACCTGTGATCGCAAATGCAATAACTGCAATTGTTCAAAAATGATTTTGGACGGGATTTTTGATTCATTTCTCAAGTTTTCAAACCCTACACTTCAAGAGGCGATTTTTCAAAGACCATTTCTTCCCTAAATCATAGGTAAATAATTTTTAACTCATTTCTTTCAATCTATTTCATCTTTTTACAAATTTCATCTTAGAATCTAGGGTTTTCATGCTGAAATTGGTTGCTTTTGGGTAGAACTTAGAAAGTTCAAAATTTGGGGATTTAGACTTCAAATTGAGATAGGATTCCAAAACCAATTGTATATCCGGGCTCGGGGGTGAATGGGTAATCGGGTTTTGGTCCGAATTTCGAGTTTTGACCAAGCAGGCCCGGGGTCGATTTTTTGACTTTTTGGGAAAATGTTGGGAAATCTGTAATTATGCATTGGAATTGGTTTCTTTAGCGTTAATTGATGTTAATAAGTTAATTATGAATAGATACGAGCAGATTGAAAGTGGAAACTAAGGGAAAAGCGGTATTTGAGGCTTGAGTTTGGCCGTGGAATCGAGGTAAGTGTTGTGGCTAACCTTAGCTTGAGGGATTAGTTATTTTTGCCTTATTTGCTACATGCTTAGTTGTTAGGTACGACGTATAGGTGAGGTGATGAGTACTATATATTGTTGTCGGGTGATAGCATGCGAGTGAGTCTTATACTTGTGACCGTTGTATTTCTTTATTCGTACTATTCCTGCTTAAACTGGTTATTGCTCATGTTAAACAAGTCTTATTATGTTTTCCTGGTTTTGGATATTGGTTGAGTATTGGCTCAAGTTGAAATTTATGTTGTGAAGTTAAACGATTAAACGAAGTTGTTTAATTATGATGCCCTTGCCGGGCTGTTATTTTTTCTGTTATTTCTTATGGTGAGGAAGAGTGATAAAGCACGAAGGGTGATGCCGTGCACATTTCTATTACTTATGTGGTGAGGAAGAGTGATAAACCACGAATGGTGATGCCGTGCATATTTCTATTTTTCATATGGTGAGGTTGAGTGCTAAAGCATAAAGGGTGATACCATGCACGTCTCTATTATTGATTATCTGGTGAGGTTGAGTGGTAAAGCACAAAGGGTGTTGCCATGCACGTTTCTATTATTGATTACCTGGTGAGGCTAAGTGTAAAAGCACGAAGGGTGATGCCGTGCCTTTTCCGTTTGCTATGTTTACTTGTTATTACCGGTTCAAAGTGTACTAGCTATTTAAATTCCTCTACTGCTGTGATTCTTTACTTTGGTACCCCATAGCATGTTGCCCCCTTCCCGTTAATTTCTGCTTAGCTTCTATTAATTGTTATTCTGTTAGCATATTGTTTAACTGCACAGGTTTATGTTATTTGTCGTGTCCTAGCCTCGTCACTACTTTGCCGAGGTTAGGCTCGGCACTTACTAGTACATGGGGTCAGTTGTACTGATACTGCACTCTGCACTTTCTGTGCAGATCCCGGTAGTGGACCTCACTGATCAAAGTTTGGGTTGCTGCCTTCAGTCCACAGGAGACCCAAGGTAGATGCCGGCGTTCGCAGACCCTGGAGTCCCCTTCTCTCTATATTAGTTTCCTGTTTTCTTTCATTCCGAAAAATAGATGTATTTCCTTTAAACCAGTATTTGTAGAAATACTTAGACGATCGTGGATTGTGACACCAGATCTTTGGGGTAGTCGTGTATTAGTGTTTTAAACTGTTATAAAAAATTTCCGCACTTCATATCTGTTTAGTTTTAATTATTACTAATTACTGTTTTGATTAATGATTAATATGTTAGAACTGTATCTGTTGGCTTGCCTAGCATTCTTGGAGTTATGCGCCATCACGATCCCGATGGTGGAAAATCCGGGTCGTAACAATAGAGGAGATCACCATTATATTATATTCCACAGATGAGAAACCAGAAGTTTTCCTCAGAGGAATAAACATGTTCTCTCTAATGCAGTGGCTGATAGGGCCTATATATGTTCAATGGCTTAAACTATATCCGGCATTTGTTTTATTGAAATATAGATATAAAAACGTGAAAAATGTTAATTATATTTTAATAGTACACTAAGTTTAGTACTAAAAACCCTAGAAGCTGAAAGGTATAAACTGGTCATGTACTATCCGAAATTGCTCAATTTTATCCTACGTTATACTTTGGATATGTCAATATTGTTGCTGCTCAGACCTTGTATATATATATCAAGAAATTCACTAAATATCTATAAATATTAGACTATGAATCTAAATATTATTGAATATTAACTTGAGGTGTTATAGCAAACCATTAAGTTTAAATCCTGAAATCGCAGTTAATAAATCATCTCATATTTTAAATGTGACATTTTAATATTTTTTCGAATTCGTTTCATTCAAAATCGTGGTTGTGACAAAAAAAAAAGTCTTAATTTATTTTTCTGCTTTTTACTTGTAGTTTAAATTCATCCTCAGGTGGAAACTCCGTTAGAGGTCAAGGAAAAGGAAAAAAATGAAACTTTTTCTAACCACGGGTAACATTAGAACCAAAATATTTAAAGCGTATGTGAAATTTCTCTAATTCGAATAGTACGAGGAAAAATTTAACCTTTTTTTCGATGCAAAATATGTGGTTGGGATATGATATGTGCCATTGCAATTTTTTCGATGGATCCTTTGTAGTAGTAGCTTTTCTTCCTTGACGTGACGCCTTGTCTTGTATTCTTAGCTGTTCATCATTTTTCATTTGCATTTATCGACAGGAAAAAGCTTAATTTTGAGTACAGTTGGTACGTACCTAGTTACAGTACTATATTATTTCCACCGCATATTTTGTGAAGAAAAGATATTCCTACGACTATTTTCATCCTTTGATGACTCTTTACACACCCAGCATATATAGGAAGCGGCAGAGCTAGAAGGAAAGTTACGACTCCGGTCGAACTCATTAACTTTTGTGTAAATCATATATTCGTATTAAGAAATTCCAAAAAAGCTAGTTACTATGTCACTATCCTAGAATTTAGAACTCATAAAATTTTAAATTCTAGCTCTGGCTTTATTAGATAGGCATAGCATCTCCATTCTAATCAAATTTCATTTATATTAGTTTTATTTTCATTATGTCGTATTAAGACGGGTCTAAATAAAGGAATATGCATAGTGAAAATTAATATAATTGACTTTAATTAACTTGAGATTGAGATGTAATTGCCGTCATTGATATTATATCATTTCGTGTCGTATAATTTAACTTTTTCCTATTATTCCTATATAGGAAATCTCATCGAGCATTTCATATGATCATTTATTCAAAAAAATGCATCATTATCATTATCATGCACGTTAGATTGCAATATTGGATACTCAAGTACCCTATCTCCCTCTCCTTATGATTAGCCGAAAGCTTTTCCTCATGCTCAACCGTGTACCTTCCTTTTCTTGATTTTGTACTAGAAAACAATTTCAAGAAAGTATTTAATTATGTTCAATTATTTTTTCACAAATCAATTCAAGATTACTAATAATCGTATTTTAAAGCTGTTTATGGACATTCACCGTAGATGATTAAATGCTATTCAATTTTTAAATAATTTTAATCTGTCATTGAATGAATTAACTAAAACTCTTTTAAGCAAAAAAGAGAATTTTTTTAAAAGGGTAAAAAATTACCCTTTTAGGATAATTCCTCACTAGAGTCCACCTTTTTATACCTAAGTCAGTATTCACCAAAGTCATCTTTTCTCTACAAGAAACATCCTCCCATCCACCATACTAAATCCAATTTTTCTTTTCAACCCTACTTTTCTTTGCTCTTTCTTTTTCATTCAATGGAGTTCTTAGTTCCACAACAGGAGCAAGATCAGACTAATTTTTCAAGAGAGATTATGGTTACAGACACAAAAAACACCACCAAAAAAAGTGGTAGTAGTAGAGTCCAAATGCATGACCAAGAAACAACAAACACTACTTCAACCACTAAAAAACGTTACATTTTTCTCCTAGCAATTAACTACTTGTGTCTTTTTGTTGGTTCAATCTCATCAACCCTACTCTCAAAATTCTACTTCAATCACAAAGGTGCAAGTCGTTGGGTTTCTACTTGGGTTCAATCTGCTGGCTTTCCTTTTCTCCTTCTCCCTATTTATTTACCTTTTTATGTTTTTAAATCCACCGATAGAAAACCATTTACTGGTTTCACTCCTAAAATCTTCTCACTCTCTATTCTCATTGGGTTTTTATTAGGTTTTAACAACCTTTTATTTTCTTGGGGTAATTCTTATCTTCCCGTTTCGACAAATTCTCTTGTCTTATCTTCACAGTTAGCTTTCACTCTTATCACTTCCGTAATTATCGTCAAACAAAAAATCACATATGCAAATCTAAATTGTGTTATTTTGTTAACACTTAGTTCGGTCTTATTAGCCTTAGGTTCAAACCATGACAAACCAAAAGGTTTGACTAAGTCAAAGTATTTAATAGGATTTTTCTCAACAGTTGGTGCTGGATTATTATTCGCTCTTTATCTCCCATTAATGGAAAAAATATATAAAAAAGTTCATTGCTATTCTATGGTCGTGGAAATGCAAGTGGTAATGGAATTAGCAGCTACGGTTTTGGCCACGGTAGGAATGACTATAGACGGTGGATTTTCGGAGATGAAAAAAGAGAGTACAAATATGTTTGATTTGGGTGAAAAAGCTTACTGGTTAACGATAATATTTAACGTGGTGATGTGGCAGTTATGTTTTATGGGTACTGCCGGAATGGTGTTCTTGACAAGTTCATTGACAGGGGGAATTTGCATGACGGCGTTAATGGCCGTTAATGTTTTTGGTGGGGTTATAGTGTATGGGGATAATTTTGGTGGTACAAAAATAGTTTCAACTTTGTTATGTGTATGGGGATTTGCTTCATATTTATATGGAATGTATATGAAAATGAAGGAAGAGGAGATAAACAAAGAGAGTTCTACAGAAAAGTTGATTAATGATGACCAACATCAGTTCGTGAAAATGACCTAGATTTGTAACGTACAAATGGCAGAGGCTGATTGTCACATGCCAAGTTGCTGCTTTTTTGTTCTTTGATTATTTAAATTTTTTTGGGGGGTGAGGGAGATGGTTAATGTTAGTAATAGTTGTTACTTGTTATCATGCATTTATGTTTATGTATCCATCAATTTAAACCTTCACTACATATCCATTCTTCCATTAGAAGACAATTCCTTGTAACCAACAAGATGGAGAAGGGAAAAAGAGTTAAAAAGAAAAGAAGAACTTTATTATATATCTGTCTTATTACATCTTTAGTTTGACTTTGTCACGACTCCAAATTTCCACCTTCAGGATCGTGATGGCGCCTAACATTTCACTTGCTAGACAAGCCAACGTTAGAGAATCTTTAAGCCAATTTTATTCAATTTCAATAAGTAAAGTCAATTAAGCCAAAATGAAACTAAAACTGAGTGCGGAATAACATAAAAACCCATAATATCTAACACAATATGGCACGGCATCACCCATCTGCACTAACCTCACATACGGCACGACATCACCCTTCGTGCATTAACACTCTCACTTACCATATAACAATGAACAAGTAACAACAGGGAGATGGAATAAACAAGAACAAGCCTTACATCGACAATGGTTCCACAATACCAATCTCAACTTTAGAAACAATACTCAATTATCACAAAAGCTCATAAGCGCGATAAGAACGATCAATATAATAAGTAACTAGTCTAAGCATGAATAACATGATCAAAGTAAGCAATAAATTACAAGGAACAAGTCCCACCCACATGCTTTAACCCAACAACAACGCATAAGTACTCGTCATCTCACATATACGTTGTTCCAAACATCTAAACATGTAGCAAATAGGCAAACAAGTCTTAATCCCTCAAGTCAAGGTTAACTACGACACTTACCTTGCTCCAAGTATCTATTCAAAGCTCAACCACAGCTTTGCCTTTCAAACAAGCCTCCGAACTAATAGAATCTATCAAATTACCAACCAAACGATTCAAACTAAGTCATAGAAACTACCCACGATTGTAAAAGATTCAATTTAGGTCATTATTGAAAAAGTCAACAAAAGCCAACTCCCGGGCCCGCTTGGTCCAAACCCGAAATTCGGACCAAGACCCGATTACCCATTCAACGTCGGGCCCGGTTATGTAATTTATTTTAAAATCCGACCTCAATTTGAGGTCTAAATCCCAATTATACAAAAATTCCTAATTCTACCTAAAACCCCAATTTCCACCATGAAAACACTAGATTTTAGGTTGAAAACTTATGAAATGTAATGAAAGATCGAAAGAAAATAGGTTAGAATCACTTACCAATGGATTGGGGAAGAAGAGTTCTTTGAAAAATCGTCTTTAGGGTTGTCTAGTTTTGAAAATATGAAGAACGAACAAAAATCCCGTCTAACTCGTATTTGTTCAGTTACGAAGTCTGCGCACCTCTGCTTTCATCGAATTTGTGATGAACTGTTTGCAAATGCGAACTCTGGCCTCCCCGCAATTACGACCTCCTAATCGCAAATGCGAACTCTTGCTGACTCAGGTATTCTTCGCAAATGCAAATAATTTGCTCGCAATTGCGAGCCTGACAGGATTTTGGGATGTTCGCATATGCGAACACTGATCTCGCAATTGCGAGATCAGAGACCAGTACCAGAAATTGCAGAACACCAGCTGAGTTTTCTAAGTCCAAACCACTATGTAGCCTATTCGAATCTCACCCGAGCCCTCGGGGCTCCAAACCAAACATGTACACAAGTCCAAAAACATATACGAACTTACTCGCGCGATCAAATCGCCAAAGTAACATCTAAAACTATGAATTGAGCACTAAATCAAAGGAAATTTTCAAGAAAACTCATGAACTTCTATTTTAACAACCGGATATCCCAATCACGTCAAACCAACTCCATTTCTCACTAACTTCGACAAGCAAATCACAAATATAGTAATGGACCTATACCGAATTTCAGAACCAAAATACGGACCCGATATAAATAAAGTCAAACATTGGTCAAACCTTTAGATTCATTAAGCCTTTTAACTTTTAAATTTCAACGAAACACGATAACTCGAGCTAGGGACCTCCGAATTCGATTCGGGGCATACACCCAAGTCCCAAATCACGATATGGAATCATCGGGACCGTCGAAATACGGATCCGGGTCCGCTTGCTCAAAACGTTGACCGAAGTCAACTCAAATAGATTTTAAGACAAAAGTTTCATATTTTATCAGTTTTTAACATAAAAGCTTTCCCGAAAAATACCTGAATAGCGCACGCAAATCGAGGAACACAAAATTATGTTCTAAAACACGATGATCTATGGGGTCATCACATACATAGTTTAATATGTTCGTTTTATTGCTTAGTTGATAGAAGATACTAGTTACTGGCATTTGTTTGTAACATCACTGTTATAGTGTACGCAGGGATAACTTATTTTCAGTTAAATACTTTACGAGATGTTTTTTTCATACTTTATGCATGCATTTTTTACTATTGCAATTCTACAAATTCTAAGAGTAATGATAAGTTATAAATATTCACACAAATACATTCAAATTAGCATAAATCAGTAAAGAGTTTAAAGCTTTTAACAGATGCGGATGTGGTTGCGGATTTTGTTTTGTTGTTCATTATATCCTTAGCATAAATAGCTTACATCCAAATCTATCAGTTAAAGAAAGGGACGAAAATATAGATATTCTTAATTTGTAAAAGTTTTTAAGGCCATCAAGTTTTAACTTGACTGCACCTTTTTTTTTTTCCTTTTCCGAGGACAGGTTGAAGGAATATTTTAATGACCCTATATAATCGCTCTCAAAATAATACTAGTCGAAAAATATATATTTTTTGTAAATATAAATATATATATATATATATATATATATATATATATATATATATATATGTATGTATGTATGTATGTATGTATATATGTATGTATTATATATATATATGTATGTATTATATATATGTATATATATGTATATATATATATATATGTATGTATGTATGTATGTATGTATGTATCTATGCTAGCTATATAAAAAAAATATAATTTTTATACACATTTACGATTAACGGATATAAATAATTTTTATCGCGGGCTAAAAGTGATCTTTGCCCCTTACACAGTTACACTTCCATATGGTGCCCACCTAAGGTCGGCAAAAAAATAAAAATGAAACAATCACATTTTGTATTTAAATAGACCGTTAAATTGAAAAAAGAATTATATTTACTTCTTATAAATTAAACGGCATATGTCACATCATACTTTGTGTTCCTATTTTTTGTAATGTTGCATTTGAAATTTTCACTATGATTTTATAGACAATGGAAATGAGAGAAGGAAGAAGAGTATTTGAGACTTAGCCATTAAGCTGTCCAACGGGACGGGACGGGACAAAATAAACGGGACAGGACGGGATGATATTTAGCCAGGACGGTGAAGGTACGGGTCTAAATGGGACGAGATAAACGGGACGAAACAATAGGCCCATCCCATCCCACTAACAAACGGGATGGGACGGGACGAGACGGTTTCGCGGGCCTTAAGTGGGCCGTTATAAAAAAAAGTTAATTATTTAAGCATTAAGTTTGGCAACGGCTAGCTTTTTCACAATAACTAAGTTTTTAAAGTTTGCAACGGCTTGTTTTTTGACTTATTTAATAAACTTAAAAGTTAAAACTTAATAAATTATAAGAAAATTAGAAAACTAAACAAAGAATTATAAAATATTAAAACAAAAGACTTGTAATAATAGATTCAAGTAATTATAATAGAGTTATAATTTATTTAATATAATTTCAAGCCAATTCGTAAAAAAAATTCAAGGCTTAGAGCCTTTTATTTTATTAATAGAACTTTCAAATCTCACATACAAATATAATTCTTTTGAAGAGCACCTAATCTACGCGGCCACCTTCCAGGAAGGGTTCTGTTTGAACTAGAGCTCTTAGTAGCCAATTACAAATTAGCATACTAATATTTATAAGCTCCTATATAGCTTCGTTGTAACTTATCTATAATTTCTCTCGGACACTGTTCTGGAATTGGCAATGTTGATTGATGTTCCATGAGTTCCATGCCATCATCGCTTCCAGTACTAAGTATCTCATTGTATTCTTCTTCTTCCCTAGTGGTTAATTTGTCACCTGGAAAGAAAGACGACCTCACCTTCTCTGGTGTCAGTGAGAGCTATTTGAGAACCAAGATTTCTTCTTTCTAAATTAATCCAATCTCTAAATAATACAGAAATCTCTAGTCTGTCCTCAGCTAATGAATGTCTATGATCTCCGATTTGAAATATTGCCGCGCTAAAAGCACTCTCCGATGCTACTGATGATGCTTGAATAGACAGGATATCTCGGGCCATTATTAAAAGTGTTGGAAAAGCCTTGCCATGCTCCCTCCACCATGCCAAAAGTTGTTCGTTGCCTTCTTCGTCTTTAATACTTCCAATCCTTGATTAAGATAATAATCAATTTCATCATCAATAGAGGAATCAAAACCTGTTATATCATCTATACCTTCCCATAGAACTTCTACTCTAGCCTTAGAAGTAGAAGGAGCAGTTTCACCACCTGTTGTTTTCATAGATTTATATTTATCAAACATTGATCTAGCATAAGAATATATGTTAGCTTGGCAGTCTTCGAGAGATGGTTGTTCATTTTCTTGAATTGCTAAATTCTCATAAATTTTACGAACAAGTCCCTTTGCACCTCTTAATTTTAAAGATGGGTTAAGTAGAGTAGAAATTAAATAAACTTGGGAATAGGAAAAAAATACTTTTTAAATTTTGCAATCATTTCATTAATGGGCGGTGCATAAGTTGGATTTGTTTCATACTTACCAAATACAACAGAAATTCCACAAATATACGATAATATTTGTGTAATAGTAAGATAATATATACCAGAAAATTATTTTTTAGTATAACAAATTTTTTCTAAAAATTTAGTAAGCTCTTTGATCTT